TTTATTTAATTATTATATTTATATAATATAATTTATTAATATATTTGTATTTATTATATTTATTTATATTATATTTATATTGTTAGATATAATAACGTTACTTATTAAAAGTCTTCTTTGAAGCAGTTAATTTTTTCGACTATCTATTATACATTTAGTTCTGCAGTACCTATAAAAAGTGTTTATTTATTGTCCAGAAACAGTGTCTAAATACCAAAACTATTCACACATTTATGAACGTGTCACTGTTTACAGCAAGCTCGGTGACAGCAGATGAAATTGCATTTAGCGGAGCGCCGTCTGTCGGTCTATATGTGTATCGCACGTAATGAAACTGCATCGGTCCTTCCTCTCGATTTCTTTCTAATGCTTAACTGACTTCCGGTTAATGTCCTTTCTAGCGAATCATTTCTACAGTTCAGAGTCACGTGAGCTGTGACGTGCGCGCAAGGCGGAAGTGAACGCGGCGGTGTGATGAGGGAGAAACACACATGTCCGAGTTATTAATAATTATCAGAGTTTAATGAAATGATCATATGATCGGGTTTAATCTCCGTCAGGATGCCGCTGTTGACTCAGAATAAGCGAATAGAGCGCGTCACCTCAACCGCGGAGCTCTTCAGCAAACACCCGCATCTGAAGGTGACGTTAACTTACAAAATAACACAAAAATAATAATATCAGAGCCACTTTAATATTATGCTGCAGCATGCATGAGTATAATAGACCCTGCTTTTCTTTACAGTTCAAACACTTGCGATGTATAAGATAAACAACACCTTAGAAATGCATTTATTTGATTAGTATTGTAATAATAGTATTATAGGCAGTATGCATGCACAGACTGTACTATATCTCGATCTTTGTCTTTATATTTAAATACTATTTAAATACAAGATAAACGTTATATAATCAGTTTTTATTTATTTACACGGTGTGGCATGCTGTACAGTTCTCATATCTATGCATGCATTTTTACAAGCTCATATTAATTAGATCTTAAGAAGTACTAATTATAATAAATGTAATTGTATAATTTGCACTGCAGGATTATTGAAGTAAACCGCAAAATTTAAAGTTATATACAATTTTGTTTAATATAAAAATATATTTAAAAGAATATAAAAAAAGCACTTTAATTCCTATGTTGTAAAATAGAGTTAAAACCCCATCAGTTTCCGTGTTATTTGCCAGTTATGCACACATAGTGTGCAGTGCATATAGTAATCAGAGGTGTGTCTCTTAGGAACGTGCGCAGCAGTTTGTGTCCAGAAGTCCAGAAGCTGTGGACACTAAACAGCTGCTGTACGTCCAGCAGCGGGAGTGTGCGGCGACCACACCAGCGGACAGTGAGTGTTAGCTCTCCATCTGATGAACGATCATGTGTTAAACACACGCTAATGTTTCTCTCTCCTCAGATTCGGTCTCTATCCTGGGATCCGATGACGCCACGACATGCCACATAGTCGTGCTTCGACACACAGGTAACAGGATCCTTCATAGAGTCGGTGTCTGTGTCGGTTTACTGTGTTTGTGTCTGATCCTCTTCTGCAGGCAGCGGAGCGACGTGTCTGGCTCACTGTGATGGCTCCAGCACATGGACTGAAGTTCCTCTGATAGTCAGTGCTGTCACTTCTAGAAGCAATCCAGCAAAAGAGGGCAGGTGCTGTAGATCCGTCCCACATCGCTGAACAGGAATGTCGGACTGAAAGGACTTTATGTGTGATTTATGGCTGTGTTTGTGTCTTCAGACTGGAGCTGCATCTGGTCGGAGGTTTTGATGACGACAGGAGCACCTCGCACTCACTCAGCCTTAGTATTCTGGGTAGGTTGAGTACAAATGCACAAAAAAGATGAAACCGTGTGATCGGAAACCAGAAGTGTTTCTAAATCTTTTGCATTGCAGCTGCCTTTCAAAAGCAGAAGGAAGAGATTCAGCTGGAGACGTGCTGCATCACAGGTGAGTCGTGCTCTTCGCCGTCATGGGACATTCTTTTGCTTCTATTCGTTTATTTACCTTAAAAATATATGTGACCCTGGAGCACAAAACCAGTCATAAGGGTCGGTTTTTCGAAATTGAGATTTATGCATCATCTGAAAGCTGAATAAA